TAAGGACTGTGCCCAAGCAAGACTGTACCGTGGAGCAATGGCTGAGGACTGCACGGTACTCTCAAACAAACGGCGTTTAACTGAAAGAACTTCTATCTATACCTGTGACTTTGCACACATAAGAAGTAAGATGTGAAATTCTTACCTTGTGTCTGTTTCCTGTTCACAGCGTTATCAGCTTTATGTCGCTTCTAAAGTAAAGAACAACAACAAACAAATTAAAAAACCGTGACAAAGTGCATGAGTGTTAAACAAAAAAGCGCCCCCACGGGAAGAGAGAGTTCTTTCAACGTCTGTTGTGTGACGTGTTCTTCCGTTAGGTCCCTGTCAATTGGAGAAAGAAGCAGGTGGAGGTGAGATGGATCAGAGGGCACCTGGGAATTTTGAAACCCAGAGCCCAATCGAAAGCACCTTTGTACAGTTCTGCTGGAAACGCAGGTCATCTGCCCTGAGCACACACGCTGTCAGGTTTGGGGCCTTGGAGCCAATTTTGTCTCCTAGGGACCTGAGAGGGCAGACTGGAACTGTCCTGCCGGGGTTCCCAGGCTGTGATCTGTAGATAGCCATGTCTGCTGCTGGTGGTTTTGAGCTGCCAACCTTCCAGTTAGCAGCCCAGCACTTACCCAGTGCATCAGCAGAACTCCTACATTAGCATTCACTGCTATCGACCTGATTCTGACTTACGGCAACCCCGTAATGGTGGGGTAGACCTGTTCCAGGGAGTTTCTGAGAATGTAAATCTTTTATGGGAGAGACAGCCTTGTCTCCTCACCACTCTCCCTCAGAACTACTAGTAGATTTGAACCACTGACCTTGTAATTACTCACTGCCACCAAGACATACTGACCTATAATGACCCTGTGAGACAGAGTAGAACTGCCTTAGGAGTTTCTGAGACTGTAACATTATGAGAGTAGGAAGTCTCATCTTTCTTCCAAGAAGCAGTTGGTAATTTTGAACTGCTAATCTTGTGTTTAGCAATCCAATGCACAACCCACTCACACAGCACTATCCCACCACACCACCAGGGCTCATTAAATTAGCATAAAAAAACAAACACTTTCCACTGGCTGTATCTCAACTCATAAGGCTTCTAAGTGAAAAGATTGGGGAAATGATTCCTGCCACATCCATCGACAGCAGTGGTTCTCAATATTCCTAATGCTGCATCCCTTTAATACAGTTCCTCATGTTGTGGTGACCCCCTATGAAATTATTTTTGTTGCTACTTCATAATTATAATTTTGCTACTGTTATGAATTGGCCGACACTTGTGAAAGGGTTGTTCAGCCCCCCAAAGGGGTTGCAACTCACAGGTTGAGAACCACTGATCTACCAGAACAAGGTCAAATAGCTTGTCAGAGTAAAATACTACAACTTTCTAGAAGCAGCTGGTAGGTGTGAAACACCAAGCTTGAGGTTACTATGCAATGCTTACCGACAAGTAACAATTAGTATATTCCAAAACCAAAGCAAATGCACTGCCATTAAGTCACTTCCAGATCACAGTGATCTGACAGACAGAGGAGAATGACCCCTGTGGCTTTCCAAGGGATCACACTCTTGGCAGGCGCCAAAGCCTCATCTTCCTCCCTCCGAGTGGCTGGTGGCGGTCCAATGTGCAACCCACCGTGCCACCAGAGCTCTCAAATTAGGTAAGCTTAAAATATTAATGTATTAGAAATGTTGGAGCTGAAAGCTGATGTATCCTTCTCCTTCAATAAATTGCTGGAAAAGGAAGATTGCCCATGAGGATTATTTATAATCACTATCATTTAATGCCAGTAGAGAAAGAAAATGTGACAGCTTCCATAAAGATTGACGGCTTTGGAAACCCAAGAGGGCAGTCTGCCTCTGCCCCAAAGAGTTGTTTTTGCTCTGAGTTAGAATGGACTCGGCGACCATTAAATATTGGTACTGAAATCTTTAAGCTTCTTATGAAATTCATCATCTAATGAAGCTGAGTAGATTCCCTTTAATTTAATGACAAGCTGATGGCTATAAATGACTGGAACCAAAGACTGTCGCCCTATTTGCATACAACCTCTTCTGCCTACTGCTTTCCAACACCCTTACCCATGTAATCACAGGCCATACCATCCTCGCAAAACCACTTAAAACAATTACCCAGTAAACAGATCAATGATTCTAAGTCTGAGTGGGTGAGTCTGAGGAGTTACATAAGCCAACGTTTGGTAGCAGTGAGTAAGTAGTAAGCAGAAAGAGAAGGTCAGGGGCAAGGTGAGAATTTGAGTAGCAGAGGAAGCAACCTTCTGCACAGTTGAACTAACCCTTCTTCAGGGCTTACTTCTAAATGTAAGCATCAGATAGAACACATCGGATCCCATTAACGAGGCAGAAAGAGTGTCAGTAACAATGCCCAGAGGTTCTGTAAGAGGAAGTCCAAAGTCAGATGCAGCTGCACCTAACAGACTATGGAGTGGGATGGAACACAAGGAGAAACACGAGTTCCTGAGTTTTCCATTTGCAAAAAACATGCTTCAGAATAACAGTGAGGACATAAAAATGTCTCTCTCTGCAGGAGGGAAGTCCAGAGCGGTGGCTTAGCACTCCGCTGAGGCACAGCCACACACGAGCTTCAGCATAATAGCTGGTACTGTGAATTCTGCGGATCCAAACAGTCGGTCACAGAATGGCACAAAATTCAAATAAAGCATTCACAATGCCTCTGTGGTAAATGATTCTTGCCATATCCATCCAACAGAACACACTAGAATAGCTTCTTGGAGTAAAATGCTAATGACAATGTAATAATGTAGACATTTCAGAGCAAACTATTGCTTCTCCAAGCACAGTATATTTCTGTTGGTGAGTATTCATAAATAAATTTCTGCTAAATCTGTATCATCAGTAAAGAGCATTTTATAATTGAGGCAACTCTAAAATACTCTTGCTAGCTTGTTAACGAAGATCTTAACAAAATGAGGCAGTAACTCTGAATAAATTTTGTTCTAAAAATAAATTTAGATATTTGGGGACGAAAAGGGAAACTATTTCCAAAATCATGCACATGTGTGAGAGACAACAGTGAGACTTCTAGCTGAAGGACACAAATAAAAGCCAATTCGTTAAACATGCACTTCAAGTGGGAAATTTAATCTTAGTGAAACTCACGGAGAATCTGAACATTACTTTCCATTTCCAGAGAATTCTCAGACATGAGAATCTCTCTTTCCTCAACCTTCCTGTCAGAGAATAAATTAGGTTACTTGCTAGGAGACAACTGTGTTCAGTTTAAACAGAAGCTTCCACTAAAATAGAGTCTTCTTATGACTACAAAAAGAATTAATGATCTGATCTTTGTTTCTTTAAAAAACAAAACAGAAAAACTCATTGCAGGCTTGTCAATTTGGACTCACAGCAAGCCTCTAAAACAAAGCAGAACGGCCCCCAGGGCTTTCAAGACTCTGAATCTTTACCACGGCAGCCTGCCACCGCTTGCTCCACCTGAGTAGTTTTGAGATTCGAACCACTGACCTTTCAGTTGGCAACTAACCTCCTTTTCTAAGAGAGATTATTTTTGCCTTCTAAAATTTTGAATGGGTTAGAAAAGATAGACATTCTCTGAGTCCAACTACCTTGTAGTAAGTTACAATATTAAAGAATTTGTTTTTTATAAATAGAAAAATATTGTCGAGATCTAGTAAGTTATGTGACAATATCAGTCTTTGATTGCCAAAAAACAAACACTGCCATTGAGTAGATTCCATAGAGAGCCTGTATGACAGAGCAGAAGTGCCCCAGTGGGTTTCTGAGGCTGTAAACCTTCCCTGCTGTAGAAGCCTCACCTTTATCCTGCTGGAGCCACTGCTGGTTTCAAACGTGCAGGTTGTAAGCCAACAGGTAACCTACTGTGCTACCAGGGCTCCTGAGCTTTGATTGACAGTACTCTATCAGTAGATCCTTTAGGACACTAAGTATGCTATCGACCACTCCCAACTTCTGGAAGCCCCTCCCTCCTTTGCAGTTGTGGTTGTTAGGTGTCTTTGTGTACCCTTAACTAACACCACCCCCTCCCTGCCACCAGGGTCTTGTAGCCTGCAATCACTACTAGAGCACATCAGTAGGTCCAACCCTACTGTGTTGGTTACCAGACGGGCACTTAACCATTGTGCCATCTGGGCTCATCTTTGCCCTCCTAGGCAACTTCTTAGCACATCCCTGCCCAGATTTCCCACCTCTATCTTTTCCTCCTTTGCCAATTGTGTCAGGGGTTGACTGACTCTCCAGCCTTTTCCCCTTCTCACCGTACAGTCCCTTCCTAGCTCAACTCATCTGTACCTATGGCATCCCTTACAACTCATATTTAAATACATACCCGTGGAAAACTCTCGTCAGAGTTCCAGACAATTACATTGAGCTGCCTCCATTGAGCCTCTCCACGGCATCTCTAACTACGCCAAAAATCAACCTGTATCCCTAAACCCCAAGAAGGGGTCTTGGTCTTAGAGAATGAATCACAGATCACCTCCCTGCACAAAGTGGGCCCCCAGATGAATGGCAGACATCTAAACAGTGAGCTGCTCCGCAGGAGAAAGGCGAGGTTTTGTACTCCACAAAGAGCTGCAGTCTTAGAGACTCATAGCAGCAGTTCCCTCTCTCCTATTATAGGGTCACTGTATGGCAGAAGTGACTCAAGGCAGTGAGTTTACCTACCAGAAAAACTAAACCACCCCAAATACCAATGCTGGTGAGTACCCTGAGCACCAGGAACCCCCAGTCACTGCCAGTGGAATGGGTGCAGCCCATTTAGAAGACTCTCTGCCATTGTCTTAGGAACCAAACACAGTCTGATAAACAATGCAGCCATTGTGCTCCTGGAGACCTCCGTGAAGGGACTGAAAATCTATGCCTACATAAAGCCTGCATGTGAATGTTTATTGGTTTATTCACACATAACAAAAACTGGAAGCAACCAAGATGTCTTTCACTAAGTGAATCAACTGTGGTCCATCCATACAAGAGTGCTTAATTCAGTGATAAACAGAAGTGAGCTATTAAGCTATGAAAAGACACGGAGGGACCTAAACCATATTGCAAAGTGAAAGAAGCTAGCCTGAAAATGCTGCATGCTGTACGATGCCAACCACATGAGGGTGTCTAAAGGTACTGCTGTAAAACTCCTAGAAACATTCATTAAACAATATCAAAATATGAAGCTATGGTCCAT